CTACTACGTGCATGCATTGGGCTCTTATCCCTGGGGCATGGACCCACTAGCGAAGTATTCTACCTCTCCGTTCAGGATTTCAATCACATGTGGCCTCGAGTGACGCAGTACGGCCGTCTAATACATAGGATCTCGACGGCCTGGTAGTTTCCGAGCGGGGATTGTAAAGATGCCCACCTCCCTCCCGTCCAATGAGATGCGTCGAAAAACAAAGAAAAAGTCTGAAAAACAGACTTGGACATGATAGCTCGTGGCTTTGCGTGGGCCGGAAGTCTGGATTTTATGGCCTCGAAAGGGGGAAGTTTTTTTTTTTTTTTTTTTTTTGGAATAAACACCCCTGTCAGTGTTAGTGGTGCTAATAAGAGCAGACACCACTAGCACCTGGGGGGAGGCTCCGTCTATTGGTGGGGAGCATCACCTGCTGGAAAACGGGTCCAGCGTCCCTTTTACAAAACGAGTTCAAGCCATATCAGAAAACAACAGAGCAACTGCGAAAGGGGGGAGGTTGATTTCCAGACTTTTTTTTTTTGGTTCTGAGAAAACGAACTTGAAATGTGAAATTCAAATATTGTTGTGGATCTGACAGGAACACCTCCGCCTCTGTCGGATGGCCTGTTAGAGGCATCATGAGATACATGGTGATGAATGTATTCCCATACCCGTTACTTGTTCATCCTCGTGGCTGTGTTCGTGGACACATTTTATTGCCACGGTACATCACTATGAAGACTTCCGTGAAGGAGATCTACCAACCCATGAATTCGGATGCACAGCTGTTCTTCTTTGTCTTATGTGCCATTTCAATTCATTTTAAATCAGAAAACGGTCCATTCATGCAAATATAAAATCACTTTGTCTTTTCTAAAAATCCATAAAATTGCGATACTTCGCTAGTGGGTCCAGGCCCCTGCCCACAGTAGGGGTCCTCCAATCCCATGTTCGGAAAAAAAAAAAAAAAAAGACTAATGGGCCTAGCTCAGTTGGTACACGAATGAACTGTTGAAACACAGACCTGAGTTGGAATCCAAATGGAGCTACATAATATGAAAATCTTGAATTATCTGGGACCAGCCAGTTGGACCATGATATCTCAAGCCTGTAGCCCTTTTTATTAAGGGGAAATCGTTGAAATACCCCTAAAAGTTGGGTTATTTGAACTTATTTCGTTAGATACCGCTGAAACTCAGGGGTATGCGGAAATGACCTCAACTTTTGCATCTGCCCCTGTCCCAGTCATGGGCAACTTCTCCATATGCCCTGCCCCTAGGCTAGAGGGGCCAGTGCATTTTTCTGCTGCAGGGTCGGAGCATATAGGGCGTCGTTAGACACTCCTCGAGCCGTCCTCGAACTCCGAGGACGAATCCTCGAAAAATTTTACGTGTTTTTGAGGTGTTGTTCCACCTGTCCTCGGAGAATCGCCCCAAGGACGAATCCTCGGGGCCCTCCCGCGGCAAGTTTCATGACATTATACACGGCCGCGAGGGTGTTGTCCGACTTTCGATTCGGGATGTCCGTGTTGGAGGCGTGGAGGTCCAGCAGGCGGACGGCGGTAGTGCATCACGGGGGCGCGAAAAAAAAAAATCGCCAACGCGGGAACGGCCCCGTTCGAATTTCAAAATTCGAATTTGCGCCAATCGGAGCGACGGTGTGGTGGCGTACACGCGGGTCGGCGAGGAGAGGGGGCAGTGCACGTCGCGACGGGTTTTGGCTGCCATGGCATTGCGCACTTAAGTGCCGCCGCACCGCCACTTCTCCAGGGTGTTCGACGCCGCGCCGCGCTTCGTATGCTTCCCGTAGTTGCGCTCGTGACGCAGAGGGGCGCGGCGTTTCCGTACTTCAGCGGCAGTGGGCGGACGCTCCAATCGGTGTGGAACATCGTTGAGCACGGCTGCATTGCTCACCTGATTGCAGGCGCCTTCAACCGCGGTGGGAGAGGTGCGCGCAGGTGGGTGGCGAGGAAGGTTTCTTTTCCTGTTCGAAGGGCGGAATGGAAGGCTGCGATCGCGATGGTCGCGCTGTGCTTTCCAGTGCGGAGGAGACAGCTGTCGCGGCGGCTGCTGTCGCAGTTGTCCGTCGATTCCAGGTTGAGAGGGCGGCTGGGCGCATGAAAGTGACGCTTTCCAGGCGGCAACAGAGGATTCTGCTGCAAAGGGTGTTGGACGCACCTGACTGCGTTACCACTTCTGAGGCAGTGCTTCAGCTATGCTTTGCAATAGGGTGCGGTGTGGTTCCTCGGACGATGCCACGTTGGTGGATGAGGCGGAGAACCGGCGGGACTTGGGAGGATTTGCGGCTCTGCGATGACGCGATGGACGACTACTTCCGGGAGAAGCTCCGCATGTCGAGGAGAGTCTTCATTGAGATCAGCGAAGCCTGTGCACCTCTCTTGCGACGACAGGTGACGTTTTACAGGGAGCCACTTCCGCCGGAGCAGATCGTCGCCTATGCGCTGTACAGGTGGGCTACAGGAGAGTCATACGACAACAACACCTCATCTTTCGGCATAGGCAGGGCTTCTGGAATTCTGGCCGTGCGCGATGTGACAAACGCTTTGTTGAGGGTGTATGGGGACAGGATATCGTGGCCGACGGGGGTGCAAAAACAAGTCGGGCTGCGGGCGTTTCTGGACAAGGGCTTTCCAAACTGCCATGGCGCAGTTGACTGCACACACATCTACGTGGACAAACCGACGAACGCGCTCGACGAGAACTACTTCGACCGCAAGCACCGTTTCGCCGTCATTGCGCAGGTTGTGGTGGACCTGGATCTGCGCGTGCTAGACGTGTTCGTCGGATATCAGGGGAGCTGCCACGACATCAGGGTGATCCAACTGTCGAGTCTGTCGAGGCGCGCGGGACAGGGACTGCTTTTTCGTGGGCCGCCTGTGACGCTGCCGGGGGGGGTGAGGACGAACGGTTACATCTTGGGAGACAACGGGTATCCTCCCTCTTAATGGGTAGTTGTGTCGTACGGAGGAATCAATCAGCACCTGTACGAGGAAAGGTTCGACACGAAGCAGAAGGTCGCAAGAGGGGCTGTGGAGAGGCCGTTCGGGAGGTTGAAGGGGATGTGGAGGCTCTTCGTGCGGACACACAAGACAAACCTGGAAACACTACCACAACAGTTCAAGGCAGTCTGCATTCTCCACAATGTCCTCCTCGATGCCGGTGTCGAGTTGGACGAGAATTTATTGTGGGAGGTTGACGAGAACGGGGTGAGGTGCCGAGTGGACCTGGGGATTCATCGTCCCCTGCAGCCAGTGTCGATGTTGACGTCCAACGGTCCCGCCCTCGCGCTCCGCGACGCGCTAGTGGAGCGAATGAAGCACCTGTGATCCTGTGCACTGCCTGCGTCTTTCACGCGCGGAACACTTGCTTCGAGTCGTGTTCTACCGTCTTCGATTAGTTAGGAGGGTTCGCCCTCTTTCGCTTTTGCGCGCGACGAAACAGATGGTTTTCGGTCGCGGGCGGTCTTCTTCGGAGTTCGTTCTTATGGTCGACGGTAGTGCGGTTGTCCAATTCGTCTATGGTTCCCAGTGACGTGGCTCTGCGGTCGTTCGACGTCATGTCGGCAGTGGTTCGGTTGTGCACTTTGTTTGAAATTGAACGATGTCGGTGGTGGTGGGGGTGTGGGTGGGGTGGTTGACAGCTCCTCGGCGAGCTTATGAGTATGTGGTTTACAGCGCTGCTTTATTTCAAATTGAACGATGTTGTCAACTCCTGCGCTTGTTTTGATTGCTATGTGATGACTTCTTCGTGCATTCCGCTTCTTCCTTTCGTTCGGCGACCGACTTCTTTCTCAATCTCATTCAAAATGTTTGTCATTCACACACTGTGTGCAATTTTATGCAGTTGCTCAGGGTCATCGTTGACGCATGAATGCGACAATGAGGATTCATGTACATTGAGAAACGAAACATTTCAATTTTGTTATTTAGCAAATGCGTTGCGACAGTGCGTGGCCAGGTTCGTTTCTCTCGTCCTGTTTTGTTTTTTTTTGTCGTTCCCGTTTTCGCAGGTGCAGGCGATGATAAGGACACAGACTTGACACACATCTGACGAAGGGCCACTTGCAGAAGCAAAAGATTTGAAGGACACGACAATCGCTATCAACGCATTCCATACATGATACATTCACACGAAAGACAACAAAACCAACTTTGAGCAACGAATCATGGACATGCGAGTACACAATTCTCACACACGAAATGAGACTTCAATTACATGCATTCCTTCCGCAAACGAATATTGACGCGGAATTCGAAAACACGAGTCCAACTGTACACCCTCGAAGCGCACCACAGCAACGACGTACTCCACCTGCCTTCTACTTCATTCCTGACGTGTCGTGGAATGGCCTAATACACAAGGCCTTGGAGCAGATCTACGATCTCTGGTGCAATGACAAACTAATCACAACGAAAAGAAAAAACCTAGCAGGTGGATTGCTGACACAATAAACCTCCACCTGCCTTGTACTGTCACCGCACACTAAAATAACACGCGCACGAAGATAACGACTGTCGACGTCGCGACACCACCGATCTGCGTGCTCCAACCACGACCATCAACGACAACACGTGTAGCGCGATGGAGGGGTTGTACCCATCCATCGCCATGGAGTGCTGCGCACGAACGGCGACCAGCCATCTCACCTTCCATACAACACCCCCCCCCCCCCCCCTCATTCCCCCCCCCCGTCGCCCCCCCCCCCCCCCCCCCTTGCGGATGAACCACGTGTCACTTCTCGTCATCCCCATCGTCATCCGCCGGTGGGCCGCTGCCGATCCACCCGTGTTTTGCTGCTTCCGCTGCATTCTTGAGGGCCGCGTTGTGACCGAAAACCAATCCGCAATCGGCCCATTCGGGGATGCAATGCGGGTAATCTCCCAGCGTGAGGTGGGCCTTCCCCAAACGATCCAAGACGAGGTTGGCGGTGTCAACCATGACCATCAACGACAACACGTGTAGCGCGATGGAGGGGTTGTACCCATCCATCGCCATGGAGTGCTGCGCAGGAACGGCGACCGGCCATCTCATCTTCCATACAACACCCCCCCCCCCCACCATCATTCCCCCCCACCGTCGCCCCCATCCCTCCGCGGCCTTGCGGATGAACCACGTGTCACTTCTCGTCATCCCCATCGTCATCCGCCGGTGGGCCGCTGCCGATCCACCCGTGTTTTGCTGCTTCCGCTGCATTCTTGAGGGCCGCGTTGTGACCGAAAACCAATCCGCAATCGGCCCATTCGGGGATGCAATGCGGGTAATCTCCCTGCGTGAGGTGGGCCTTCCCCAAACGATCCAAGACAAGGTTGGCGCTGTCAACGATGTGCCGCCGCCGCCAGTTGAATATGTAGGAGCCCGCCGCTATGAGTGTCGGTTTGGCGACCATGGACGCGTAGAATGATGCCTCGTAGTGCGAGCGGTCATCATCACCGCCCATCCGCATGATCCATATGCACGCGCTCAACAAAACTCGAAGACAATCCGCAAGGCGCGTCAACCTATCCTGTTTCAGGCGGCCACCGTCGACCCATTGCCTGCACCAAACTGCATCTGTCCAGCAGTCTACCAGGCGCAGAATTGTCGCCTCCTGCCGCGCCGCCATGTCGTCGTCTTCGGGCCTATCCACAATCTTCACTCCAGCGAACCATAGAGGCACGTCCATCTTCATCGCTAGCGTGTGGTAGACAAGGGCAGGGGAAACGACTCTCGACCATTCTAAAGCCTGCCAGACTGCTCGCGCGACGTCTGTTGCGAAGTCCAATGTCACGTACGATTCTGCACGAGCGAAGCCTGTCGACCTGGATGACGATTTGAAGATCCAGTCGTGGATGGCACGCAGCACCACTTTCTCCACGTTGCGCGCTCTGCGCAAAGCCGGTTCACGCTGCGCAGGGTCATCGATCTTGAAGCGCGACACATCATTCGTCGGCATTACCAGCATCGAAGGCGGTTCCGCTCCTACATCCCCGTTGGTGATGGCGACGAAGTAGTCCATGCAATCGCCTACCGCCTCCCTCTATGGCTTCCCCGATCCCTGACCCCAGAATGCGTCGCAGTCCATCCTCAACTTCGACCTCTCTTCGAGATCATCCTCTTTAACCCCTTTCTTCACCATCGTCGGAACCGGACGGTCGTCGTCATCATCGCCCCCCCCCCTGGCATCCTTCCTCCCATCATCGCGGCGAACGTCATCAACCCTCCCCTCTCCCGCACCCTCCGCGCTCCGCTCACAGTGGTGTTTTCCGCCACCGCCGTCCGACCACCGCCCGTCGTCGTGTCGACCTTTTGCGCGGACAGTGTTTTTTCCACCCCTGAAGTCCCTGCCTGTTGCGCTGGGATTGGCTGACGTGGCGCCACGTGCACGACCTTTGGCGGAACTTGTCTCGCCGCGCGCGCGTCCGTCATGACAATCCCTGCGGACCTCGGGGTTCGTGCCAATGAGACGGCGACACCACCGAGCAAGCCTTGCTTCACAGCGGCCAGCTGCTCCCTCGACACCCCATCCCGCCCAAACCCCAATCGCTTCATGACGTCCGCCCCTTGTGCATCCACCATCGACTCATCCTTGCCGTGCAAATCCCCACTATGTTCGGAGTTGTAGTCATCGAAGCGCGGCCTTTTCGACTTCGGTATGTGCCCTCTGCTTTTTTGGGTCTCCCCACCGTCGCCCGATCCGCTATTTCTTTTCACCTTCCCTGAAGCGCCGCGCGGTGCCATGTCGTCCACAAAAAAGTGTGTGCCGAATGCAGAAAGCTGCGGCGCTTGGCTGACGTGGACGAAGGACCACGTGGACGACGACGATGAAGGAGCGGCGGGAGGTCGATGACGGGCACCTTGCCGTCGGACGACGTTGACGATGAGGCGCTTCGCTGCTGTGGAAGAAGGACCAGTCCGATGGCACGCCACTTGGCTGACGTGGATGCAGGAGGACGTGGATGCCCGCGGAGCCCAAACCCTGCGATCGTAGCGTAACAAACGGATGACTACGCCTGCGACGACGATACCATGCACAAACGGTGCCTTTGTAGCCGTCGCGATAGAATGCCAGCGGTATGGAATGCCTCCCGGAATGCCCTTTTCTACGGTGCGTGGTCTCGCAGTACACCATGGACAGGACAGGCCGTCCACTACAGCTCGCCCCTTCGTCGATTCACAATGGACAAATTTTCTCACGACGTGGAGGTCATCCCTCGCAGGAGGTACAAAGACCCCGCCATTCCCCC